CTGCATCCCGTGACATCATCTCTACACCTCAAGAGATTCTACACTATAACATCAAGAATGAATCTTCAGCTACACCAAAGAATATCACCCTGAATACATAAGCAGACTTCCTGCATATTTTCAAGACTCTTGCCCAGCCCTTGAATAGCTTATTTTTTATGTCAAAAAAAAAAGTGTAGCTTTGGTTAAGGCTCTTGTCAAGGGAACACAGTCCTGCATTATCTCAGTGGCACAGGTGTAAACGCAGAAGTTCTAAGAGGAAATCAGTAAGTCAGAGGCAGCAAAGAAGATGAGGGCAGAAGTCAAAGAGAGCTGAAGATGCTATGGTGCTGGCCTAAAAGACAGGAGATGAGGCTGTGAGCCAAGGAAAGCAGGAGGACTCTGGGAGATACAAAGAATAGTGAAACGAATCTCCTCTGCGATCTGAGGGAGAGATTCCATTCTGAAAACCAGCTGGACCTTAAGTCCTCTAATGTTGCATACTGAGAGGAAAAAAAGGCGTGTTGTCCCGAGCTATTAAATCTGGAAGCTAGTCCGGATATTATGCAAAATGCTCTTGACAGCCATTACAAAGATTGTGGATCCTGATATCAGTTCTTCTGTCAGATGGACAGCCACATCTAATCATGAGAGCCCCAGAAGCACAGAAATGTATCCTGCTAAACCAGTGAGAAGCAGCGGCAGAAGGTGGGAACAGAAGGCAGGTCCACGCAAGATGAACTCCAAGAATGACTCAACCCACTGGGATTTGTTTTGTTTTGTTTTGTTTTTTATTTAAAGATGGAGGACAGAGCCCAAGTGTAGCTGGAATCAGCAAACTAAGAGTGAGTGGCCCCTGGGAGACAGACAGTAAGGGAGTGGGAAACCCAGTCCCACAACCACCAGGAGCAACATCAGTGCACATTGAACTGAATTTACATCTGTAGAGATAGAAAAGAAGGAAGACACAGTCCTTTGCCCTCCTTAACCTTAAACAGAAAAAAAAAAATAACTATCAAGTCCTATGTCATCAGCCCTAAGAACCACAATGCAATGGGTTATTGTCACTTAATGACACCTGAGTTGGCCACAATTTGTTAAGTGCAATAGCAAACATACACATCACAAGTTAAAGAGGGAACTAATTTGACTCAACCTTACAAGTTTTATTCAAGGTGCACAGTGAGGCACTGTGGTAGTGTGTGCTTTGAGGGTTGGCTCCAGTCCGTGGGCAGCCATCTAAATTCCTTCAGCTTCCTCCACTAGGATCTCCAGAATGTTGGCTGCCTCCCACTACAGGTCACAGATGCCCACAGAGCCTTAACAAATCCCTTTTAGTCACTGGAAGAACTGTTCTGAGTATACCTCATTGTAGAGTAGGAAAAACCTTCCCCAAGATCTGTCACCAGGTACTCCATCTCTCTTGTTTCCTAGGCCTGTGTCTCATTAGAAGAAACCATGACTACCGAGTGTGTCCTCCTTGAAACACTAGATACATTAGTCTAAGTCCAACCAAGCTCCACTAGACTGGAAACGCAGGGAGGAAACACAGATGCATGGCCTGAAGATGATGTTGATGGGGGTTAAGAGCATGCTCTGTTCCTGCAGAAGACTGGAGTTCAGTTCCCACATCAGGCAGCTCACAACTTCCTGTAACTCCAGCCCCAGGGTACTTAATACCTCTAGCATCCCTAGGCACCTATATTTATGTGCACAGAGATACACACATATGTACAGTTGAAAGACTAACCATGGGGTTGGGGGAATGCCTCTGTGGTTAAGAGCACTTGCCGCTCTTCCAGAGGACCTGGGTTCAGTTCCCAACACCCACATGGCCTATCCTGAGTGTATTTTAACTCCAGTTCCAGGGGATCAAGCACCCTCTTCTGACCTCTGTGGGCCCCAGGAACACCAGTGGTGCACATACATACACACAGGCAAAGTATACACATAAAATAAAAGTAAATAAATAAAACTAAAATAATAAGTCTTTTTTTAAAAAAAGATGATGGTGATGCCGATGATGATGACTACTGAGACAAAAGACTAAGGGATCAGGAGTTTAGTTTAAGTCCAAAATAGGAGCCGCCAACCCAGCAAAGTGTCTGTGCTCTGGAAGAGACTTGGAAAGAAATTAAATATTGAAATTAGGAGACCATAAACAATCTCAATTCATAGCCCGGCTGGATGACTGGAGGCATGGTGTCCCTCCTCAGAATGCATTACACCATCTCCACCTCAGAGGCTGACACTGTGTGTCAGGCCTGGTCTGCCCTAACAGTAACTGCACTGTCCTGATCAGGAAAAAAAAAATGTATCCAGGCCTTGAGAAGTCTTCTGGCTAGAAGGATAAAGAGGGTACAGAGAGATCAGAAGGTAAGGGAAGAAAAGAGACGTGGAAAGAGATAGAAGGAAATTAAGAAAATATGATTTTCAATAAATGTGACCACTTCAGTGGTCATCTTAAAACCCTTTAGCTTCTGCCAGCTGTCACATGTGCCCTTCAGCCGTGACGCACAGCATCGAGCCTTACTCTTGTGATCCACCTACATCCTATGTGTCTCAGGCAATTTGAAGCTGGCCAAATTGGTCCCGTTCTACTGTCAGTGATTATTTAGTGGCTGAGTCTGACCCAGTTCTAGCCACTGAGACAAGCATCAGAAAGTAAGCTGAGGGGCCTAGCAGGGCTTTGCATGGTCTATGTTTCCAGTATGTTCCAGGCCTTGACAATGCTCTCCACCTTCCCCTCCCACCCTTCACCCCTTGGCCTCTGTCCTGACTGCACTGAACGCTGTCTGGCTGGCTGGCTGTTTTTCTGAGACAGGGTCTCTCTATGTAGCCCTGACTACTCTGAAATTCATTCTGCAGACCAGGCTGGCCTCGAACTCAGATCCACCTGCCTCTGCTAGGATTATAGGTATACACTACCACACCTGGCCCCTTGCACTGAACTTTGTCAATTGAAATTTTTATTCATGTTCTTTCTTCTATGCTTAAATGTCACTTCTCCAAGGTCTTGCTCCCCCTCCCCCCCCTGCCCAGGCTGTGTCAAGGTGTGTGTGTGAGTGTGTGTGTGTGTGAGAGAGTATGTGTGTGAGTGTGTGTGTGAGAGAGAGTATGTGTGTGAGTGTGTGAGTGTGTGAGTGTGTGCGTGAGTGTGTTGTGAGTGTGTGTGTATGAGTATGTGTGTGAGTGTGTGTGTGAGTATGTGTGAGTGTGTGTGTGAGTGTGTGTGTGAATGTGTGTGTGAGTGTGTGTGAGTGTATGTGTGTGAGTGTGTGTGTGAGTATGTGTGTGAGTGTGTGTGAGTATGTGTGTGTGTGTGAGTGTATGTGTGTGAGTATGTGTGTGAGTGTGTGTGAGTATGTGTGTGAGTGTGTGTGAGTATGTGTGTGAGTGTGTGTGTGTGTGTGTTTATGTTTTCAGCTTAGTGAGTACTGCTCCTAAGACAAAATTATAATTGCTGTCTTCTTACTCACCCTCTTAGAACTGCTCACAGAATGTCTGACTTCCCAACTACTCCCAAGATGCCCTCAGGCTGTTCCCAACATTAACACTAACTGTGTTATGCTTCTTTTAATTTCTGTTTGTTTTTATTTTAGTTTTTTGAGCAAGGTATCATGTAGCCCAGGCTGGTCCCTAACTTGCTATGTAACCAAGGTTGACCTTTGAACCCCTTGTCCTGCCTCTGACTCCCAAGTCCTGGGACAATGTGTACATGTGCCACTGTTTCTGGGGACAAAAGCAAACCTTAGTCTTTGAAATCAGGTGGCCTTCCCCCTTTGGGACTCAGTTTACCTCAGTTAGGTTCAGTGAGATCCATCAGGACCTCCAGCTACTTCTGTCTCACAGATGACAGACATCGTGGCTTTGTGCCACACCCGATACATCCTCCACTCTCTGACATTAACTCCTCCCACACTGTGATTTAAGCCTCTTTGCATCCAGGTTCCTGAAACATAACTCACATACCAGCCCGGTGCACGTTCCGGACCCTAGGAGGCTCACACATCCAGCTCTAGGCTCTGCTGAACCTCATCCAGGTTCCATATACTGGGGGGCGCTGCTACCTCTGGGTTGTGAACACTACCCACCTCCCTCCCCGGGAGCCCCCTTAGCAAAGCAAATGCAATGCTGCCTCGACTGAGCTGCTGTGCATCTCATGTCCCGGGTCAGTACAGATCTCTTATCTCAAAGTAGGGCCATCCATGTCCAGAGCTCCTGTGACTTCTCTCCGGCTGAGTCATGTTCTTGCCTGGTTTCTTCCCTCTCCACACCACTGCTGTCTCTCTCAAACCCATCGCAGCCGCTTTCCATGTAGTGCTTGGGTCACTGCCTCAGTCTACCTCCGGGAAATACATACTAAGGCATACATTTCAACTGTGACAGTGGTTCGTGAAGGGGGAAAAGAGCAGACCTACCCTCCCCAGGAACCTCTTCACACATCTGGCCTCATCCCCTTCTCTGCCCTTCACTGGCCTGAACAGTGGGTGACAAGTGCATCCAAATGGATTTTCACAGCCCCCTTTGAAGTCTTGCACAGGCATATGAGAGATGCTCATGTTTACTTGCCTGAAGCTAGTAATGAAATTGTGTCTTGGCTTCCTGGTGCTATACAATTCACATATAAAATTCCAAGCACTGGACAGGAACCGGTGAGTGACAGCTATTATTTTGGGTCTTCAGCATAATAATGTACAGAAAGCTTGCAAGCCTCGTGCCAGTTCTATGAAACGTTTCTGCCTTTCTCTCCTTACGGTGACTCTTCATGGAGTCACAGTATTTAATGCTGTTTTGTTAATCCTGGAGCCCAGAAGATATTCTGCATCTGGGCCTGTTTCCAAACCAGGTTTACGTGCAATGTTTTATTGAGCATTTCCTCACGTTGCCACCCCCGACATCCCCTTCCTGAGTCTCCTCTCCTTCCCCAGCTGGATGTTCCTGTACAGCAACTGACACTGTAATGTCCTCACTTGTTCCTGCCAAACTGAAGCCTTTCCTCTCTCTCCCCTGGCACTCAGATCTGTGTGACCTCTGAAGAAGAACAGGACGGCTTCGTCAGAGTCCTCAGCGGGAAGAAGAGGGGCCTTGTCCCGCTGGATGTGCTGGTCACGGTGTGACTGTGGTGGTCCCTCCCAGTGCAGGAGGCCAGCTCTGCTGATCTCACTGTGTCCGCCCAGACGAGCAGCTGCACTGACCAGTGCCCAGGAAACAGGGAGACCAGGAGATGTGAGACTGTGCTAGCATCTGGAAGCAAGCCTTCTGCACGGCACACCCAGGCTGCCAGAGAGCAGCATCCCAGAGCTGTAGGTGGGCTGTAGCCAAGGCTGCCCTGGGACTCAGCTCCCTCCCTATGCCCACCTGTACCCACTTGTGCCCATCTGTGCAAGGCCGGAGTATGCCCCAGGTCACCGTGTGGTCCTGGTGAGACATTTGGATCTGAGTAGCCAAGTGTTAACTCTGGTTCCAGATTGATGTCCCCAGTGCTGGCCAGTCAACATCCTGCCGAGAATCAAGAAGGTCCAACCTCCCAGTCCCCGACACCCCAGACCTCACTCCAGCGCCTGCTCAGATGTGGTTCTGCTGGCAGGACTGTTCTTTCCTTCTTTTCAGTCCTCGGAGCACGTCCTAGGCTGAACTAACTCGGTAGCAAGCGCAAAGATTTGACTAGCAGACAGATTGCTTACCAGGGAGTCCTTATTGCTCCTTCAGTGACTCACGGAGGTGACAGAGCAAAGTCAGAGGCACAGACTCAAGCAGCAGCCAGAAGAGGGAGTGAGGGCAGGGAATGAGTCCTATGTACTGGGATTGTGCAGCCCTTTCAGATGGGGTGTTCTTTTCCAAAGCAAGTGGTAGCTGAGAGTCTCCATTTCCATTTCATATCCTCTGTATCAGGAGCAAAACTTGCTCCCTTGTGCAGCCCGTAGGACTCGGTGATAGAGGATGAATCCACCATGTAGGCAACCAGGGAGCGGGGAGCGCCACTGAGAAAAACATCTTAGAATAAATGTAGCCAACTTAGAATCCATTCTTCTCTAGGGCGGTATCTCTAGCTCCAGCAGGTGTTAAGTGGAACCGAACCTGTGATGTTTCATCTCTTGTGCAAACAGAGGGAGCTGGAGCTTAGCCCCCATCACCTAGGGAAACTGCTCTCAACCTGTACCGATGTTTACAAGGACATACCACACTGCGATGCCTTCCTCCCAAGCCCGGTCCCAGCATTCAGACCTGCTTCCTAGCAGTCACTGACATGTTTAAATGTGATTCACAGTGACCTTGAAATCAATGTCGCAATAAAATCATTAGAACCATTGGGTTTGGGCTTGGTTCTGCTTTGTTTTGTTTTACGGTTTGTTTCTTTCATTTGAGGAAGGAACTCTAACCTAGGCTAGTCTCAAACTCACTGCATAGCTGAGGATGATATGAACTTTGATACTGTTGACCCCATTTCCAGTGTTGGGATTACAGGACTGTACCAGCACAACCCATGCACACAGCCCTGGGGACTGAACGTGAGGTCTCATGCATGCTAGGCAGTCACACTGCCAACTGAACCACACCCCTGACCCCCAAAGCCAATGTTTTGCTTTGTGTTTTTCTGTTTTGAAGACTTAGATGACTACATCCAGGCCAGGGCACGTCAGCCTCATTCCTTAGACCAAAGAATCATTTGTCTGTTTGATGTTTTTGTTACTGCCCAGTGTGACATCAGGAGCCAAGCTATGGCAGCAGCTGGTCTCATAGTAGCCCAGATGCCTGACTCCTGTTCTCAAATAGTATCCAGTTTCGTCTTCATCCAACGCCACTTGTTAAGGAGGGTTCACAGACTCAAAACCTTTGTGAGCGCAGGTGGATCATGGATCACATGACTGCCTTTTGGAAAACTGAACACCCAGGGCAGACACTTTCCACCTCCAGTCAATTTTCCATTAAATCAAGACAACCTAGTAACTGGAAGGAATATAAAACATTGTGTCTTGTCCTCTCCTCATTGATTCCATGTCCATGGCAGGCTTCCGGTACTGGGGTACCCAACTTGAATTTTAATATCAGCTTGCCTTTTCAATAGAAGGGAGATGTGGCATCCGGCCTCTCAGGTGGTCTCCCTTGTTGACCTTCGCCTCCTGATAGTCTTTATGTAGCTTCCTCCCACAATGGATCAGGATTAGTCTTCAGTAGCCAGTGAAATATAGCAGAAGTCACAGTGACAGGCACATGAGGCTAGCTCATAAAACTCACAGCTTCCGCCTTGACCTATCAGAGAACACACTGGTGCGACCCTGGGACATTTCATGAAGAGAGGCAGGTATGTACCTGAGGCCACCATATGGGACAGGCCTCCATGCAAAGACCACATACTTCAGCAGATGAGGTTGTAAAGACAACGATAGAGCAATGGGGACTTGTCCCTGCTGACCACTTCTTGGGCCCCAAACATACGATCAATCCAAATATATACAATATTTATAAATGTAAGTTTGACATTTTGTGCAGTGAGACACCAAAGCTTTGCTGACATTGGGTGTCAGCAGGCAGCTAACCCTCCAGTGCCAGATGTGCAGTATTCTCCAAAAGTCTAGAGTCATTCAAACAGAAGAGGAGATACGCTGTGTATAGATTGTTGTGGATGACTCTCACACATACATACAGAGAAGGGTAAGAGAAAGGGGAGGAGTTAGGAGCCTTTCCTGTCCTCTTCTACTTGCCTGCAAGAATGACAAGAACAAATGGTGATCTGCCCAAGTCTTGATGGCTTCTAAGACTTGAGAAGTAGCTGCACTGGAAACAAGGTGAGGACATTCAGAGACAAATGCTGGTGTGGGGACAGGAAAGGAGAAGAAAGTGTCAATACGAAAGAGCAAATATGAGTCTGTGGGGACGGGGGACACCCTTTGTAGTGCCAGGAGCACACGAGTCATCACCGTCTGTGCTGCCGCCTCCAAGAGGAAGGCACAGGGCCATCTCAACACCACGGCAGCTGTGCCATGCACCTCACTGTGAAACATGACTCTGTGTTGGCAAGTGTGTGAGGAAGAACTGATTAGAAATTCCTTATAGTTCCAGAAGGCAGGGAACTGAATGTCTCTTCCCCCACCATCGTCACTACCAGGCATGTAGACATTGGGGCTGCAAAGAGAAACCAAGTATAGATGCCTGGCCTGCCTGATGACTGGCAGAGGTGATTCACTCATCATTTTCCATCCCAGCTACATACCAAATACACAGACATGCACACCCAGAGACACAGAGATACACACATGGCAAGGGTTCCCCATATTCTCATAACGAAGAAGAATCCAACAACTGGGCTGCATGTTTAAGGCAAACAATGGGGCAAAACATCATAGGAGCTTAATGGAGCTGGTCTTCTTTGCTATTGAAGGGGAAAACTTAGAGTCAATGGGAAAGTCACTTGTAGCAAAGTCAGTCTAGATGATGTGCTTTCCAAGAAGAAAAAGAGAGCTAGAGAGTAAATAGACTCACCGAACCTACTAGAGCCTGGCCCAGGCCAAGGCACCTACACTTACACTTATTTAACATCGCTGCTGTACTCAGGACTTCTCAGGACCTTTAATCTGTTTTCTAACTCTTACTGTAGTTACCCAAAAGGGGGTTAGAACAAGGGAATACTGCCAGTCTCCTCTAGAGTATAGTTTGAAAGAGTCTACAAAGATAGTTCTCAAATGATACAGGATGAACTACCAACCTCAAGGTCCCTAACACTGAACTCTTCCTACTGGCCACTGAGCACTAAGTGGCCTTAGGATTGCCTTCTCTGGGCTGAGTCTGCATTAGGTGAAGGGAAGGAGGATGTGGAGAGCTATGCACTCCAGGGTAGAAAGCTCTGATAGCTTGAATGAATGTGAGCAGCCAGAAGGAGGCTAGCATCAATAAGAGAAAGTTCAGCCATGCTCAAAATGGAATCCCCAGGAAGCTAAGTGAGCAGGTGGACACCAAGATTCACCACAAACAGAATCCCCTAAAAATAACTTAGACAGAAAATTCAAACTAATACATGACATCCTATACCTGTCCCTGAGACTTTTCTTAGTTACCACCCTGTTGTGTGTTTTGTACACCTGGTGGTTTTGATGCTGCGGATGTGGTTTCTTCTTTGCTTCTAACAAGGAGCTTTAAATAGCCTGAAGTCTTCTTTAGGTAATGAAAACTTAACTGTATCTTAAACAGTCCATAAGACCATAGCCACTTATTTTAACAGACCTCTTTAAAATGAAGAACTGGTACATATTTCTTTAGTAGTCTATTATCAAATTTGAATAGTTAGTGAGGATCTCCCATGTCTTTGTGGAAGTCAGGATATCCTGAATCCTGAAAATATCCCTGGAAAAGTGCAAGAGTTACTTCTGAGAACAAGGGTAAGCCAACTTTGAAATTCCTCCAGTGATGCCTGGCATGTCACATGCCTGCAATCCTTAAATGAGGGTGGCAGACTCAAAGGGATCAACAATAGTCCATGGGAACCTGAACCTCATCAGTGAGTTCCAGGCCAGCCTGGGCTACAGTGAGACACCCTAGAAGGGAGTGGGGGAGGGCAGGAGGGAAGGAGGGAAGGAGAGAGGGAGAATTTTATGGGCATCAATCACTCAGGCTCTAGAGTTACTTCCCTGAGTTCATCTTTTTCAATTAACACATCTTTATCTTCTACTAATTTATGAAAGTTGGCATGTTTTTCAATCATTTTTATTTTAATACAAACAAAAGTGTCATCTCAGGTTCTTTATGATTTCCTGATTTCAGTTTTGACCATGTTAAATAGTTGCCTCCATTCTTACTCGTTTCTGAACACTGTGATTTAAGTTTTGACTTTTCTCTTTGATTTTTTTTTTTAAGTATGTGAATGGATAGGCCATTGTGTATAGTTGCTGGGAAACAGGTTCTGTATGAATTCTAACTTTACTGATTATTTTGTTTTTGTGTTCTTATATCTGACCAGTGTGTATAAATGTTCAGCTGACACTGGAGAAATGGGTCTAGCCTTCAATGTGTTGATTTCACTATATATCTATTAAATAAATCCTCAAGAAATTCAAATTGTCTGTATTCTTTTTTGCTTATATGTCAATCAAAGACAAAGAACCAAGAATAAGTACAGTGGGCATTAATAAAAGATTCCTATGAGGACCTCCAAAGTCCAGTCTGCAGGGAAGAAATGGCATCCACCCTCTTTTACATTTAGAACTAATTGCTTTGGTCTTGTCCTAAGCAAATGTCCTCTTCAGCTTCCTGGAGCACACTACACAGGAACCCTTTTCTTTTCTTTTTAAGTGAAAAGGTTGCAA